TAAAGCCCAAGTGGAAAAAGGTCAGCTACTTCTTTACTCTATCTAATTCTCTGGTATTTCGCCTGAGGATGGCTAATAGAGTTAAGAAGTTAAATGCACATCTAGATGATATTAATGACTCGGCCAACCGGTTGGGGCTGCAAAACAAACTTACCAACACTAGTGCTCCTGAACCTAGAGTAAACCAACAGACTCACTCTTTTCTAGCCCAAGAAGTTGTTGGAAGAGATGAAGATGTCAATAAAATAGTTAGCCTGTTAATTGACTGTAGTAATCAGAAGGCCCTCTCTGTCATCTCCATAGCGGGTATGGCAGGTCTTGGCAAAACTACCTTAGCCAAAGCAGTGTGTGCAGACAATAAAATACGTGAATATTTTGGAGAAAAAATAATGTGGGTTTGTGTCTGAAATTTTTTATGTCCAAAGAATTTTAGGGGAAATATTGGAGTCTCTTACCGGTGCTCCCTGTATAAATAAAAACAGAGATACTCTGCTTTGGAAAATAGGAGAAGAGTTGGAGAAAGAGGAGGAAAAGAAACAGGGAAAAAAAGTGGGGAAAAACTATCTTCTCATACTAGATGATGTGTGGAGTGAGGAGGGTAGGAACTGGGATGAGTTAAGAGTTGTTTGTTGGGAATATGTAGAAAGGCTGGAAATAGAGTAGTCGTGACAACTCAAATAGAAATGTTGCATCAATAATGGGTTCCAAACATATACATGATCTTAAGCAACTAGAAGTTGGTCACTGTTGGTCTGTAATCAAGCAGAGAGCATTTGGAGATGATGTTGTGCCTCCCAGGTTGGAAGAAATTGGATTTGGTATTGTTGAAAAGTGTGGAGGCGTTCCATTAGTTGCAAATGTTATAGGGAGGACTCTGTACAATAAAAAGAATGAAAATGAGTGGTTGTCAGTTAATGAGAAGATTGATGTATGGGGTTCACTTGAAGATCAACATTGTAGGATTAGGGATGTCTTGCAATTGAGTTTTCAATGGTTGCCAAAACCAGCTTTGAAGCAATGTTTTTCATTTTGTTCTATTTTCCCCAAAGATTTTGTCATTGAAAAGGAGAAGCTAATTCAGCTATGGATGGCTGAAGGCTATCTTCAATCATCTAAAGAAAGTTCCATGGAGAATGTGGGTGGCAAGTATTTCACTTGTTATCATGTTCCCTATTTCAAGAGGAAGCAAGGGCTTCTTCTGGAAATGTTAGATCTTGCAAAATTCATGATCTAATTCATGATTTTGTGCTATCCATTTATTTTGAGACCGTGATTATTGAAGAGGAGTCTTGTAGCAATATCCCTCATCATGCTCGGCACTTGAATCTCAATTTTGGTAAAGGAAAGGTGCAAATAAAGTTAGAAAACGTTGCTGAAAAGCTACAGAATTTGTTTTCAAAGCAAGGTTTTCCAAGTGGTTTGCAGGCAAATTTTAAAAGGTTACGAGTTCTTAGTGTTTGTGATGTTGATGATGGTGAACCATTACCATCTTGTTTTGGAAACCTGAAAAGTTTGAGATACTTGGACATTTCAAGAACCTGCCATTGTGGATGCTGGAGACCCATAGCGAGTTGTTTTTGCTCAAGAATTTGGTGTAATTAAACATTAAGAAGTGTCAAAAGTTAAAAAGCATTGCCTTGCTGAAAGGATTATCCTCTCTTCGGTGGCTTTGTATTGAGCAATGTAGTGAATTAAGTAGAATAGATGATGGGGCATTTGAATTCACATCCCTGGAAGAATTATCCATATGGGACTGTGATAAGTTGGAAAGTTTTCTAGTAAGTGGATTGGCATCACTTCAGACACTCAAAATTGCCTTTTGTGAGGTGCTGAACAGCATAGGAGATAGCCTATCAACCTTCAGGTGCCTCAAACAGTTACGTTTGATATCTTGTGATAATTTGGAGTCTGTCCCAAGTCTAGAGGGGCTTACCTCTTTGAAAAGACAGAGATTGTCCATTGTTATGAATTAAAGGATCTACCTAATGGATAGTCATCTTGCACTGCTCTCAAAGAGTTGTTCATACAGTATTGCGATAATTTAGTCTCCATTCCCAAAGAATTGTAGGAATTGCCTTCTCTTGTTGAATTAGAAATTTCATTCTGTAGAAATTTGAGGAGCTGCCAAAAAGAGAGCCTTGGATGCATCAATCGCTTGAAGAGATTGTCAATTGGCAGCTTCTCAAAAGAGATGGAGAAATTCCCAGACATGAGTTTCATCAACGCCTCCCTTGAGGAGTTGACTTTGTTTGATTGGAGAATGAGTGAGATTGTGCGTCAAATTCATCACTTGACCGCTCTAAAGGAGTTTACAACACATGGTTCCTTCAATGACATGGAAGCACTGTGTGATGGATTGGAAAGACTCTCCTCTCTCACAAAACTACGCATTAGAAGGTGTGAAGACTTGATCTCTCTTCCAGAAGGATTGAAGAAGTTTCCTCATCTTAGAACACTCGAAATTGTGGTCTGCAGTAACCTCATCTCTATTCCGAAAGGATTGGGGGAATTGGCACATCTTAAAACACTCAAAATTTCAAGCTGCCATAACTTGACCTCTCCTCCTGAAGATTTAAAGGAACTGCGTTCTCTTGTTGAATTAGACATTTCATGCTTTTGAAAATTGATGAGCTTCCCAGAGGAGATCCTAGGCCGCCTTACTAGCTTGAAGAGATTGAAGATTGGTGGTTTCTCAAAAGAGCTAGAGGAATTCCCAGGATTGAGTTCCATCCATGATGGCCTTGAAGATCTGCAGTTGGTTGGATGGCACAAACTAACTCAGCTGCCTCATCAAATTCAACACCTTACTGCTCTCAAGATGTTGACTATAGTGTCCTTTGAACAAGTGGTAGCTTTGCGAGAGTGACTGGGAAACTTTTCCTCTCGTCAACGTCTGGAGATCCTCCATTGTGATAATATGAAACAACTGCCTTCTGCAGAAGCCCTTCGAGGCCTCTCAAAACTGCAGTTGCTTTTTATTTGGGGTTGCCCAGGGTTACTAGAGAGATGCACTAAGAAACATGGTTCTAAGTGGTGCAAGATTTCCCACATTCCAGAATTGAAATTGCTTTAAGCAAAGATTGAGGCCTCAAAGTGGTAAGTTCCATTCCTCTTCACCCCATGAATTAGAATTGTCATTTCAAGGAAATTGTTGAAGAATTTTCAAAATATTTTCAAGATTTGGGTTTAAATTACAAAAAGTTGATTCGAAACAATTGCACAGAATGCATTTGAGAAAGTGCAACTTTGGTTCAAATCATAATTATATGGTTCGAACCATTTACGTAAAATCAGAATCCAAAAAATTACGATTTTGGCTCAAATCATATAAATGTGATTCGAACAATTTACGTAAGAAATCAAAGATAGAATTTTGATAAGTTTCTGAAGAGAGTGGATAACTTTGAAAGGTAAGGAAACACATCAGTTGGAATTCAAATCAAACCAAATAACTTTTGAAAGAGTTTCTAATGGATAAAAAAGTTGAAAAGAAGTATCTGTTCACAACAGACATCTTGAAAAGAAGTGTATGTTCCCTATAAATATGGAGTTATTTCTTCTTTTTTAAAGAATCTTTGAACCCAAAAATATATAAATAAAACAGCTCATTTTTGTATTACGATTGCTCGAGAAATCCCTATACAAAAACTATTGGTTTGTCGCTTACCAAAGGATGGTTCAATGGTTGATCTTGCTATTGTAAAGGCTAGATCAACAAGGCGCTTTATTATATCTTGCATTTGGGGTTACCTTTTTTGCATACCTGATCTGGTGGGGGTGAAATTAACCTAAAAAAAAATGGCATTTGCAACACACCTTAAAGCCAATGATCTAATAATCTATTTTCTAACCCCCTATTTCTCCAACAGAAATGCTAATCAAATTCTTTATAAGTTCATCACTTCTAACATTTTAATTCAAACCAGTTGATCTTCTGTTAATTTCTACCGCTTCCACTGCAAAGCCCTTTAATTAGGGAGATACCGTACATCAATTCAGGAACGAGCAATAATTTTTTCATATTCATTATATTTTGAATTTGTGAATGCATCACAAATTTCGGCTTACATCACTAGATCAGTATAACCTAAATGTCAGAATGCATATTAATTACTCTTGCTTTCCCAATTCCATCAAAAATGATATTTCGCACCAAAAGTTGGAACTAAGTTCCATATTGATTGTCTTTCTATTGAAATTAATTACATCCTTTCCTATGGCAAAACAGCTTATGTGAATCAGAGGGTTGCATAACATACATAACACTGGAGGAAATGCATTTTATGGCTGCCGGTACTGAACTATTCACAATTTGTATTCAAGCTTCTGAAGAACCTGAGGTTGTTTGAGATTCTCTCCATGGGGACTTTGTGTTCAAGCTGTTGTTTCATTAATTGTGGCATTGTTTTCCTAGACTTTTGTTTTATAGTTATAATTGCATGTCTGTACCATTATCTTTGTTTTAATTTTTGTGAGAGTGTGCAAAACACTGAAGAGTTTTGGTACCTTTTCTTGTTAAGTATGATTTGGCTATTATACCAGTGAGTGTCTGTCTGTATGTTGTAAATCAGTATATTTTTAGGCCACTAGGCTTAAAACATCTGACAGATTACCCATCCAAGAAGCAAGCAGAGATACTCATCGGATAAGCAAGCAATAGCAGATCGAGGAGTGGCCAGAAAGTAGCTTTACCAAGCAAAATATGATCATTCTGGTATGCTTTATATATCTTTTTTTGAGTCTTTTTAAGCATTATGGAATTGCATTCTAGCATAGCATTTTTTAAGTAAGCATAGAAGCTTTACATTAATGAATTAATGAAGCTTGCCTTGCTATTTAACATCAATCATGTAGGAGCATTTTTCTGCTAATATTTTTTGCTTTAAGGCTTGCAGTCAGAGCTGTTAAGAACATCTGCTTACTTTTGAGCTTATGTGTAGAACAATTCCAGTAACTTATCTGCCTCCCACTTAGGAGGATGTGACTCAAGGAACAAGTTCAAGTTGGAGTTTTGTGACATCATTTTTTCATGGCATCTTGGTAAGTTAGTCTGCCTTAAATATAACTTCAATCCCTTTTTTTAAAAAAAAAAAAAGAAAAAAAGAAATTCGACTCAATAATTTGAAATTAACTATCATTTGAATACAATTTGACTGATTGTTTTGCATTGGTGACTGATTGTTTTGCATTGGTCACCAAGTTTAAGATACTCAAATAAGTGGAAAATTGCAGGAGGAATGGATCAACGCAACTTTCATCCAATGAAAGACAATTCTGGTATGATTGCTGTCTTAATTAAGCATTATGTCTCGTTTTTGAGAAGACTCTTGTGACATACCTGTGGGTTTCTTGGCTGCTCAAATTTGATAATACTAGGTGTTTTTGTTGTTGTGCATAATCGCTGCGTGATATGTATAATCCACTTAATGGTACGTCAGAAAAAAGAATCACAATTATGATAATTAAGATTACTTGCTTGTTATTGGGTTTATATTTTGTAGAACAACTTCATCTGATCAGAATATTGCATTGATTAATGATTTCACATTGGTAATGCGAGAATCTTAATTAACTTGCATATCAAGAGATTGATGGCGACAACTGCTAAAACTACACAACACAGAAGCTTCTCTGCTCTTTGATGTCAGTTGTGCTAGAGGGAGGATTATTCACAACACAAACAAACGACTACAGCCTACAGGGACGCAGCTAGATCACATCTTGCTAATGCCACTGTTGAGCTAGCCTTCCCAAGTTGGGTGGCACGACAATGGTGTGAGTTGGCCCACGATGAAAATTTTGAAGTTCTATTTGCACTTGGGCTCTTGGGCTCGGTCGCTAAGAACTCCATTCATTTGTAAAGTTGCTGCGACTGGGCTGGAACAACAATAGTCCGTATACATTGTAATCGGGCTGTGATCCAGTCCAGCAGAAGCTTGGCCCAGTTGCAAGGCAAATATGTAAAGTGTCTTCAAAGAACGCTGCAAGCAAACCTTGGAATTAATTCAGATTGACGTTGGATTAATCAAATTAATTTTAGATGAACAAAGAAAAACACAACAGTTACAGGTGTTTTTTCTATTAATTTCTTAAAGATTTGGCTAAAAAAGCACACTTTTTTTATTTTATTTATTATTTAATTGATCATTACACAATTTATTGTTGTGTTATTTTATTTTTTATTATAATAAATATATTTATTTTTAATTTTTGTTAAAAATATATCAAAAGAAAAAAATACAAGTGAATCTTTTTATAAAAAAAATTTTTTAAAAAATTAATGCCATAAAATATAATCTTAAAAATTCAAATCTTTAACAATAATTTTTAGCCCTGCTAATCAAATTTCCTGGCTCTGCCCCTGCCTTGTGTTAAGCACCCTGCCGGTATGGTGTTCGTTCTCAGCAGTCCCCGTTCTTCCTAAACAAAGGTCAATGTTAAAAATAATTGTCTTTGTTAAAAAAAGAAGAAGAAGAAGAAGAAGAAGAGAGAATTGAATAAAAGGAGGCTACGCTAACCTTGAAACGTTAGGAATTCACCATAAAAAAAAAATTTTAAAGAAGAAAAAAAAAGAGTGCGAGAGGAAGAAAGTAGACAAGTGGATATTACAACGAGAAGGGTTGGCCAAATTGTTCTCATCAATTACGTACTAATATTTTTGTGGCCGAAGGAAGAAGACGAGAATGACACGCAACATTAGTGGAACCACGCGGAAATTTTGTTCTGTACTGCAAATTGTTCTTATAGTAAATGGCTGGTTCTCTTTCGTGGCACTTGCCATGTAATTCATCCTCTTTATCATTTTTCCCCGAATAAATTGACTTCGGATTCTTCCTACATTGACTTCGGATATTATATATTTATATGGTTGCATTTGATCCACCCTTATCATCGCAAAAACACCATATTCTTCACTTCTCTTTTGCTAAAGAAAATTTTCCAAACCCTTTAAGTTAATATGGCGGACCTTATTCTTGGTCCTATTGTAGATGCCACTGTCTCCAAGGTGACTGCTCTTGCCTCAGAGCAGCTCAATTTGGCTTTGGGATGGAGAAAAGACCTGGAGAGGTTTCGCAACATAATGAATATGCTGGGAGGTGTGTTGCAGGACGCTGATGAGAGGCATGTCGCCGGCGACACTAACTTGAAAGCTTGGCTTGAGAGGCTTCGAGATGTTGCTGATGAGGCTGATGATGTGTTCGAGGAGATCCGTTACGAAAATCTGCGACGTCAGGTAGCAGAACTGAAGCCCATGTGGAAAAAGGTTAGCTACTTCTTTACTCTGTCTAATCCTCTGGTATTTCGCATGAGGATGGCTAATAGAGTTAAGAAGTTAAATGCATACCTTGATGATATTAATGACTCGGCCAACCGGTTCGGGCTCCAAAATAAACTTGCCAACACTAGTGCTCCTCAACCTAGACTAAACCAACAGACCCACTCTTTTCTAGAGCAAGAAGTGGTTGGAAGAAATGAAGATGTTGATCAAATAGTTAGTCTGTTAATTGACTCTTGTAATCAGGAGGCCCTCTCTGTCATTTCTATAGTGGGTATGGCAGGTCTTGGTAAAACTACTTTAGCCAAAAAAGTGTGTGCAAATGATAAAATACGTGAATATTTTGGAGAAAAGATTATGTGGGTTTGTGTGTCTGAAATTTTTGATGTCCAAAGAATTTTAGGGGAAATGTTGGAGTCTCTTACTGGTAGTCCATGTATAAATAGAAACAGAGATACTCTGCTTCGAAAAATAGGAGAGGAGTTGGAGAAAAAAGAGGGAAAGAAAGAAGGGGGAAAGGAGGAAAAAAGAGAGGAAAAAAACTATCTTCTCATACTAGATGATGTGTGGAGTGAGGAGAGTGGGAACTGGGTTGTGTTAAGGAGTTGTTTGTTGGGAATATGTAGAAAGGCTGGAAATAGAGTAGTCGTGACAACTCGAAGCAGAAATGTTGCATCAATAATGGGTTCCAAATACATACATGTTCTTGGGCAACTAGAACTTGATCAATGTTGGTTTATAATCAAGCAGAGAGCATTTGGAGGCGATGCTGTGCCTCCAAAATTGGAAGAAATTGGATTTGGTATCGCTGAAAAATGTGGAGGTGTTCCATTAGTTGCAAATGTTATAGGCGGGACTTTGTACAACAGAAGGGATGAAGATGAGTGGTTGTCAGTTAAGGAGAAGATTAATGTATGGGGTTCACTTGAAGATCAACATCGTCAGATCATGGATGTCTTGCAATTGAGTTTTGAACGGTTGCCAAAGCCAGCTTTGAAGCAATGTTTTGCATTTTGTTCTATTTTCCCCAAGGATTTTGTCATTCCGAAGGAGAAGCTAATTCAACTATGGATGGCCGTAGGCTTTCTCCAATCTTCTAAAGAAAGTTCCATGGAGGAAATGGGTGACAAGTATTTCAATTGCTTGTTATCATATTCCCTATTTCAATGGGAAGCAAGTGCTTTTGAGGATGCTTGCAAAATTCATGATTTGTTTCATGATTTTGTGCAGTCCATTTATGATGAGTCTGTTATTATTGAGGAAAGGTCTAGCTGCAATATCTCTCATCAAGCTCGACACTTGAATCTCAGTTTTGGCAAAGAAAAGGTGCACATAAAGTTAGAAGATGTTGCTGAAAAGTTACAAACTTTGTTTTCAGAGCAAGGTTTTCCCACTAGTTTGAAGGGAAACTTTAAAAGGTTACGTGCTCTCGGTGTTAGTGGTGCTGATGATGGTGAACCAATACCATCATGTTTTGGAAACCTGAAAAGTTTGAGATACTTGGACATTTCAGGAACTCCAATCAGACAATTGCCCAAGTTCATCACCAAGATGTATAATTTGCAAACATTTAGATTCAACAACTGCAGATCTCTGAAAATGCCTCCAGAAGGAATAGGCCATTTAATGAACTTGAGGCATATTTACTTTGATGATGAAGACCGTATGCCTGCGCACATTGGTAGACTGACTAGTCTTCAAACATTGCAAAAGTTCTTTGTGGGCGAGAAAAGGGGACGGAAGGTTGAAGAACTAGGAAAGTTAAGCCAACTCAGAGGAGCATTACAGATCTATAATCTTGAGTGTGTTAAAGACCAATCAGAAGCCCAGAGAGCTAGATTAAAGGAGAAGGCAGTTTTAATGTTGCAATTAATTTGGGATGAAGAAGGCAATTGTAATAAAGATGAAGATGTTCTAGAAGGCCTCCAACCTCCCTCAAATCTGAAAACACTGAGAATCCAAGGTTATGGTGGTGAAAACTTACCATCCTGGATGTTGGAGAGCCATAGTGAATTATTTTTGCTCAAGAATTTGGTGGGATTAGACTTTGAAAAGTGTCAAAAGTTAAAAGGCATTCCCTTGTTAAAAGGATTTTCCTCTCTTCGGCGGCTTCATATTAGAAAATGCAGTGAATTAAGTAGAATAAATGATGGGGGCCATGGGGCATTCGAATTCACATCCCTGGAAGAACTGTCCATATCGGATTGTCATAAGTTGGAAAGTGTTCTAGTAAATGGATTGACATCGCTGGAAAGACTGTTCCTATTCAATTGTCATAAGTTGGAAAGTGTTCTAGTAAATGGATTGACGTCACTTCAGACACTAAAAATTGTCCAATGTGAGTTGGTGAGTAGCATAGGAGATAGCCTGTCAACCTCCAAGCGCCTCAAAGAATTGCTGCTGTTTTCTTGTGAAAATTTGGAGTCTGTTCCAAGCGTAGAGGGGCTTACCTCTCTTAAAAGAGTAGAGATTGTTCAATGTTACAGATTAAAGTATCTACCAAGTGGATTGTCATCTTGCACTGCTCTTGAAGAGTTGCACATATGTAACTGCAGAAATCTGGTCTCCATTCTTGAAGAACTGAAGGAATTGCCTTCTCTGGTTGAATTAGAAATTTCAGGGTGTGAAAAATTGAGGAGCTTCCCAAAGGACAGCCTTGGATGCCTTAATCGCTTGAAGAGCTTGTCAATTGGCAGATTCTCAAAAGAGATGGAGGAATTCCCAGATCTGAGTTCCATCAACGCCTCCCTTGAAATGTTAGACTTGAGGCATTGGAGAACGCACCAGTGGCTACATCAAATTCAACGCTTTACTGCTTTAAAAGAGTTGAGTATAACGGGTCCCATTGATGACGTGGAAGCACTGTCAGATGTATTGGAAAAACTCTCCTCTCTTACAAAACTCAGAATTTCGTGCTGCCACGACTTGATCTCTCTTCCACAAGGACTGAACAAGTTGCCCCATCTCAGAACACTCGAAATTTTCAGCTGCAATAACCTGACATCTCTTTCAGAAGATTTAAAGGAATTGCGTTCTCTTATTACATTACATGTTTCACACTGTCGGAGACTGAACCCAGGGGAGATCCTCGGCTGCCTTACTAGCTTGAAGAGATTGGAGATTGGTGGTTTCTCAGAAGAGCTGGAGGAATTTCCAGGACTGAGTTCCATCCATGATGGCCTTGAAGAGCTGAGGTTGATTGGATGGGACAAACTAAATCAGCTGCCTCATCAAATTCAACACCTTACTACTCTCAAGGAGTTGACCATAGAGTCCTTTAAACAAGTGGTGGCTTTGCCAGAGTGGGTGGGAAACTTTTCTTCTCTTCAATGTCTCTGGATCCACTCTTGCGATAATATGAAACAAC